GTGCCAGCCTTGTCAGATCAGATTTGTAAGCCACAATCATGCAGACAACTGGTGAACCATGTGAGTGAATCAGCATCAACCTACCAGTCAGAAAACAAAAGACACATGTACTATCTCTAGCCCCCTCAGGACCAGCAACATTTAGTTTTTTAGGTAGATTGTATTTGCCAATTCCTACATTTTCTTAACCAGATTTCCTTCTTAAAAATTAAAAATAACATTTTATACATTTCCCCACATGAACTTGAGACAATCTAGTGAAACAGGCAGAAAGAATATCAACGTAGGGTGAAAGTGAGGGAACACAGCTTAAAACTTTAAGGATACACTGCTTTAGATTAAATTCCAGTGCTGCCATTTAACAGTATGATCTTAGGCTAGTAATTTAAATTCTCTCTAGTTCAGTTAGCTCCATTTTTAACTGAATAGTAACAAAGTATCTACCTTAAAGAGCTATCCTAAGGATTAGCCAAGACCTATAAAGAATTTAGCCCAAGGGACATATAATAAGACTTTAGTAAAAATGTGTCTGTTATTATACAGCACAAATACACAGCAGAAATGACTCTCAAATCTGAGTAGGAATTTAGCACATGTTCCACCAAGCCCCAGAATAACTTACTAAAGTGTCAAATTTAAGTGGTACATTTTTAAATTTCTAAATCACTGGCCCCAGAAACTATTCACCCTAAATCTCATGATTCTTAAGAACAAAAAAGGCTGCTCAGATACTAATGCTGTGTGGAAGTGGGATTTTCAGAGCAAACTCAAACATAGTATTTATAATCATGCTATTACATGGCAGAAAAATGTTGTGCTTAAGCATCTGGCATTTTTCAAAAAAGTTCATAGCAGAAAAAGAACTGTTTAAAAAAATACAAATACAGTCAGTCTGGAGTTTATCTCTCACTTTAAATCTTCAAAGGACAGCCAAATCTGTCACAACAAAGTCCAAGAGAACCGATAAGATAGTACTTATCTCCTTAATGGAGAACATACAGAAGGCTCATTTGTTTCCCAAGCCTTCACTGTGATGTGTGAGTGGAGGATTTCAGTGGCTGCTAAGATTCTGTGAGTTGATCAGAATCACCCACACTTTCTTATATTTTTATTTAGAAGGCAAAAGAAGGCACATTAGGTCTAAGAATATGGAAAATGCTAATTATCCTTTAGACTTTCTTTTCTGACAGTAAAAACCATAGTAGTATTTGCACTTTTTAAAAAGTGTAGTCACAATCTTTATATAAATTGGTTTGTGATTAGGAATATATAAGTACACCCTCATGTACTGATGTTTAAAGAAAATTAATATCCACTTGTCTCTTAGTATAACCAGGTTATACCAAATAAAAGAAACCTGCCACCCTACTCAGAGATACATTTTTTAGCTTGTTAATTAATAGATAACCTTTCAGAATGCACACATGGACTGGTGGAGTGGCTTAAGTGGTATAGCACCTGCCTAGCAAGTATAAGGCTCTGAGTTCAATTCTCAGTATTAAAAAAAAGACACAGAATGTGCACACATATACCCTCATACACATTTACATATATTGCATATTTTCCCCTTTAATTGGGTACACATCACTTCTAGATACTCTTCTTTTGGAATTTACTTTTGTTTTGTTTGGTTTTACTCAATATGTCACATACTTCCTTCCATTTGTTTTTTTTTTTTTTTTTCTGGAAACAGGGTTTTGCTATGTGGCCTTGAACTCAGGATCCTCCTGCCTCAGCCTCCCAAGTGCTGGGATTACAGGCATATGCAGGCTCTATTTGACTTTTTAAAAAATAAATCACATTCTTTTTCTTTATTCTCCAAAACTTATAAATTATTACCTTTGTGCTTTTAACATTTAAAAAATATGTTCATTCTCTAGCATTTATTGTTCTAATCTATACGGACTCTCTGCAAGTCATCTTGCCAATGCAAATTCTAACTTGATAAAGTGCAGCTAGTAATGATGTTATTCAGATTAGACTAAATATTTTCAAATACTACATTCAACAACAACAAAAAACCCAATATCTCACTATTCTTTACATTGTATATATACATATAGTCCTGTACACCAGCATTATGATGTATGAGGAACACATTTTTCATTTAAATTATATTTATTGATAAGCATAAGGGCATTTCAGGTTAACCTTGTATTGTAGTCATTAATTTCACCAAGCTTTATAAGGGAAACATTTTGACATACTAAACAGTCATTTCTCCCTTTTTCTTTAATATGATTTCATCATAGCACAAGATAAATCTGAGAAACTGAAGTATAAGGAAAAGGAACATCTCTATAAATCTCAAAAAGGTTAAAAAGAAGAAATAAGTAGCAATATGAAAACATGTCTGACTTTTCAGCTACATCATTTGAAAATGTTTTGGAGAAAATAAAGATGATCATGGTTGTATGTAAGGACATGGAGTCACATGATAAAAACAGACACGAGAGTCTCTCTTGCCATTGGGAATTGGAGTCGTGCATGTGGAGATCCCTGCTATGACAAGTGGTGCACCATGGTCATTTCTGTAGCCCATTTGGGCGATGAAAAATTTAGTAAGCAAAACTGGGTTTTTTTCCCAACTTTTTCTTTTTCATTGCATGCTTACAGACACAACTCAGACTTGATGGATAACTTACTCTTAGTACCTTACTCCCCAGAAAAAAAGAAAGTAGCATTATATTTTACCCAGTAAATGATTTACTCTTAACTAATCACCACTCATAGGGTAGGTAAATGGATTCAGATTTCTTAAATTTAATGGAAATTTAAGGTAAGCATTTAAAAACAAATACTTGGCAAATAATTAAATTCTTACCAAGATAATACTTACATCAGTAATACTGATGTAGGGCTAATAAAGTATGGGGATTTTTCACCATCCCTAAACTTACAAAAAGTCATCATGTTATTTAAGTGAAGGCACACCCCCCAAATAAATCCTAAGATGTCTTTCCAGACTTCATCTATTTTATAAATTCCATTCAACGAACAAATATTGGGTACCTAACAAAAGTTGCAAAAAAAATGTTTAGTGGATGAATAGGAATCTCTCTGAATCTATGTGTGGCCTTAGGTTAAATATAAAGACTTCAAACAATAAAGGAATATGGAATCAGCCCTAAAGGAACTTATAATTTAAAATGGTAAGATATGTACATAGGAAGTCAATGTGTGCCATAAGAAGAAGGTAATGTTTGTCTAAGAGAGCCGGAATGATGTGCTAAGGGTGTCAAGGGGAGTGGTCACAGAAGAGGCAGAGTTTGAAGTGGGCCTGGAAAGGGTACAATAATTTGGATCTGAGACCTGAAAGGAAAGTTTCAGAAAAAGAGATAGACACGTGCAATGGCCCAGAGGTGTGCAGATGCTGTTTGGTAGGGAATAGGAAACCAGGGAGCATCTGTGAATGGGGCAATATCTTCAGCCTTGTTAGGGCTGTGGAATCATCTACAGAGCATAGGTAAACTGTATCAGAGGGTGGAAAGACTGGATGGAGGCAACGACTTCCTGCCAGGTTCCTGAAAGGTGCAGCTGGAGCTTGGGAGCTGGCTAGGATAGTGATAAAGGCTTGGAAAGCCCTGAGAAGAGAAGAGGGCCAAGGCAGGCTCTAGTAAGAGGGTGATGGCATCAAAAGGATCAAGTTCCATGATAAGCGTCCCATCTAACGTCTGATACCTCAAAAAGACCACTAGGCACAAGGTAAGACCTGTGGGGAGGCAGAAATTCAAGTTCAAGAGAATCCACGAAGATAGTGCATCCTGATGCATACCCGAGTTAAAACAAAAGCAAGGATTAAATGAGATATATTTAAAAGGGCATATTTGAACCTTCTTCCACTGCCATCTTTCTTGGTTTAAAGAAACTCTGGAGTCTCAGCTTTAAATATATTCTCATGCCCTGTATTATTTTTGAATGGGTGTTTCAAGCTACTTTGTTTTCCTGAAAGCCCTGTAATTGTCCTGGTGACTTAACCTATCAAGGAGCCCTGGGGTCAGGAACCTGTAGGTCCCAGTAATACCGTTCAAGTTCATCGCCTTTTCTGCATCCTGAAGGTGGGGAAGGGTCTGGGTGTCCAGCCCACAGCCTCACTAAGGAAGAACTTGGCTAGTTTTCCAGCTCTAAGTAGAGAGCCAGGGTAGGAATAGCGCCCCCGTGGGAAGCAAGAGTTAAGGGCGTCCACCACCTGGCTCTACCCTCAAATCCAGGGGAGCGGGGTTACTCGGGGCTAGCGATGGCCCCGGAGTGGAACACGAGGTGCCCAGAGGAAAGTCTGATCCTGTCTGCGCTCCTAGTTATTCCCGCAGCTCCTTGCCGGGGAACATTCCCCGGGCCCCATCCTTCAGGAGCCATCTGCCCTCGCCCCGGATCCCTGGTGTCAAGCAGCAAGCCCAGGGTCAGGGTGCTGTAGGCATCTGACGGCGGGAGAGCCCGGCAGCTGGAAGCCGAGGGCCAGGGGGAATCCCGCGAAGCAGCCGGAGCGTCTCGGCAGGGCGTCGCAGGGCTTTCCCGGCCGCCGTGCGCGTGGCGGCCGCGGGGCTGTGGCCCCTGTCGCCGGGGACAGCCGGGTGGGAGCCGTAGAGCTAAGCAGGTGGGTGTGGAGCGGGGCCGGAGGGAGCGGAGGGAGGTGCCCGGCTAGGTGTGGGCGGTGCCCGGTCGCCTGCTCCCGGGCCGCGCCCTGGGCACGGGGGGCGCCGTCCCTGGCAGAGCGCACACAGCACGCTCGGGCGTCGCGAAGGAGGCCGAGCCCCGGCGTCCCCGAGAGCCGCGAGCGCCGAGAAGGAGAAGCAGGAGGGAAGGCAGAGAAAGAGGCGGCGGGTGCGCGGAGCGCGGGAGGCGGAGCGGGAGCCGGGGCGGCCGCGGGCGAGTGTGCGCGCCGGGCCGGCGAGCTGCGGGGCGGGGGACCGGCGCCCCCGAGCGCCCCGCCTCGCCTCCCGCGCGCAGCCTCTGCGGGCTCCGGCACAGACACACACACCCACCGAGCGCCCACCGCCCGCCGCCGCCGCCGCGCCTGGGCAACCCGAGCGAGCCGCAAGTCCCGGGCCGGCTGGCGCTGCGCTGCGCGGCGAGCCGAGCCCCGCTGGATTTTCTTCCTTCTCCACTCCAGCCCTCTCTAGTCTGGGCGGCGACGGCCGACGGCAGGGGGATGGGGACCCCGCGCGGGGAAGGGGGTGAAGATCGATGAAGATTATTGTTCTTTTAAAGGATGCCTTAGCTTCCTCCCTTCCGCCGCCTCTGCTCGGAGCCTGGCTACTAGAGATCGAAGCAGTCGGGGATGTAAAGAGAGAGAGAAAGACTCCAGGAGCTCCAGCCAGCCGGGGAGACCCTCCTCTCCGGGCAGGGGAGGGGGATTTCCAGCGACACATCATTGGCGAAGGGGATCGTCGCAGGGAGAGGAGCCCCCGGAGGGAGCGGGGAATTCCACAGCCCTTTGTGCCGCCTGCTGAGCGGGGTCTGTGGGAGCTAGGTAAGTGGGGGGTGGGTGGGGGGGAGACGACATTGCTGCTCCCCAGGGGGTCTTCCTTTAAGAAGGAATCATCACGGCAGCCTAGCCAGACTTGAGTTGCTACAGGAATTGGAAACTGCCATATGGCGCCCAGTGGACTTACACACAAAGCTGACTTAACCCTGGCAGGGTTATTAACGTAAGGCTCCTAGCCGGTGGAGAAGGCACGCCAAGTGTCAGCCCCTGACAAGCTTCCCACCCAGAGCCTGACTGGGAAGGGATGGGAAATGTTATTTCTAGGAGACGAGCTCTCGTTGCCTTCTGTTCATTTGTTGGTAAATGCCACACTCACATGCACACACTTGTGGGACCGGATTTAGGGAGTGTGATGTCCCTGGTGTATGAACAGTGCTCAGAACACAGAGCCAGGCGTGCATTTTATTCCTCAACCGAGCGCGGTCTCTGTTCTGTAGCCAGCTTTCTGCCTGAGAGCAAGAACAGGTCTTCAGGGAAGGAGCTCCAAGGCTGTTTTCATCCCTCTGCTAAGGGGACTTGGGAATACAGTTGGCCTGAATGGCACCTAAAGACACCAACCATTTGCCTCATCATTTGCTCCTAATGCTTAATGACCTTTTTCAAGATTGTGAGCCGCCTGCCATCCATTTTCTCAAATTATGAGCATTTATGAGTATCCATTCATAAAAATTGTCAGCGTGAAATAGGCATAGAGATGCTGATAACAGGCAACATTATGACTGCACGTGTGTTTTCACAATAAATGTTAGTAGTGACAGGATTGAGACTGGAAAATTTTAGGACGCACAGTTGTACACTGGGTTAATTTCATGTTGTTTTAGCATTCCTTCTAATCAAGTTATGCAGTGTCAATATTTTAAGTACTATTTCACATTTCTGTCTTTACATTGATTGGTTTTTGGATTTTTATTGGGAATCCGATTTTTTTAAAGCCCAGATCAAAGGAAAAACAAGCATTTTAGTGTGACTGTTGTTAAATGTGTAGGACAGGTGTCTTGGTTTACTTACTGATAAATATCAGTCAAGATACCACATTTCATAGGACAAGCAAAAGATAGGTTTCTGACAAAGATCAAAGTCTTATCTGTTAGTGTTGAATGGCTTATAGGACAGATTTTGAAAGGAAGGCAACACTTAAAAATTATATCTGTAAATATAACAAACTTTTATTTCATCTGTTTCACTCTTTGGGTGTGGTGTGTATCAATAAACAAAGTTGTCCAAAGCTTAACTTGTAATAAATGAATTAAACCTGTAAACATCTAGACCAGCGAGTTCATTGTTCTCAAATTAACCAAAACTTAAACAGTTCAGCGGTTTGGCAAATTATGCATATATATGTGCATTAATTGCTGCTTGAGGTCCTGTTTTTAATGTAGGGTGTGAATGAAGTGCTTACTTGTGTGGCTACACAGACTTTCTGAGAATATTGAGGGCTCAATGTATAACAGCTTTCCCCCATTAAATGGAAAATATCCCTGTCACCTAGAAGAGTTCAGGTGTCCCCCAAAAGCAAATGCTGTGATCCCCTCCCTCACTGGGTTGCCACTGTGTTCAGACCAGTTGTTCATCACACACAGTCTGTCTAAAGCACTCTTCTCCCTTTGCTGGCACTACTCAGACTTTTGAAGAAAGAAGTAAGTCAGTTAACAGTTCTCTTTGTGTTCTTCCTTCAACTTTCACCTTCCTTGCCCATGTTAGTGTTCCCAAATATCCCTTATGCACAACCCCATATACACTGACTCCAGAAAGTGACTCTCCTTCCACCTTGTTCTTTTCTTGCCTCTCTTTTCTTTATCTGAAGAGAATCAATCCATGCATCAGCTGAAATTATTCCAGACTCACTTTTCTCAAAATCCTGTAGTTCAGTTTTGCAAGTATACTTGTTTAGTGACTGTGAACATGAAGTTAAGAGAATTGTTACTGTATCCAGTGTTTTCTGCTTGGCCTTTAAAACTTCTTTGTTGATGGCAGAGGCCAACTGTGAACCTCATTTGGCCCTTCTAATTTTCACTATGGTAATGAAAATGAAACTGCTAGAACAAAATGAAATGGCAGGATAGGGATTAAGTCTCATTTCTTGACAAACTGAAGTTTTTGGTACACCTGCCTGCATGTCTGTAAATGCATTAATGCATAGAACTTTGAAAAAATATTTTTGCTTGAATATGTGTAGGATTTTGAAATGATATTCTAGAGAGACCAGTATACATATGTACTTATTTTGAAAGTGATTCATATTACTGGTAGAATCTAGGATTTTATCAGATGTTTTTCATTCTGCCCTGATGCATTTTTCCTTGATGAGGAAGCAATTAGTTCCTTGAAATTTGCTGTCTCTGAGGGGCTGATTCCTAAGGAAAATTCTCGAAGTTGATAGTTGAAGTTGAAATTTCCTCATGTGTATTTTAGGGTAAATATATGAGGTTTAGACATTCTATTTATTTCAGAATGTAATACTATTTAAGATTTGCTTATATTCATCATGTGGAATTTGGATAAAAGCCCACCTATTATTTTCACAAGGGCTTCTGGGGAAAGGCGAGTACAGATGTGTTACATGTGAGCTTCTTTAAGTTCCGAGTATTTTTTTAAGGTAAGACTTTTATAACCTTGTTACCCCCGAAGCGATAAACTTTATAGAGCAGAGCAGTCTTAAAATTTTTAGTTGCGTACTCCCAAGTATCTTCATAGTCTAGATCTACAGCCCATTCTTTTTTATTGCTTATTTTCTCCCTGTGGTTCACATACAAACTTCCCCCAGCTCTTTACAGCAAATGTAGGTTGTGAGGCAGAAAGGCAAGTGGGTGAGACCAGAGACCCCTTGACCTCTGTAAGCCTACCCCTCCTGGATTGTCCTCAAAAGGGCCTGTTCCTGTAGGCTGAATTGTACCTACCTTTACTATCTCATGTAATGTCATGGAGCCCTGTGCTGCTGTCATTCATTAATTCACTCATTACTTATAAGATATGTATAAGAAGAGTGCTTGACTAGAGTGCAGCCAACGCCAGTAGTACAGAAGACAGTCCCAGCCCTCAAGGAATTTTATTTTATAGGGTAGAGAATCAAAAAAACCAAAAAACCCACCAACAACTTGAATTGCTAATTGAAAAAATCAGTGACTGTTCAAAATGAGAGCTCTGTTGCATGCAGAAATGCATTTAACAATTTCATACTTAATAAATTAAGACAAATTCATGAAGAGGGTCATGAAAATTTGTCACAGGCTATATGCATTTGGAAATTGTTGGAAAACATCAACAACAGCCTTCAATTTATTAAAAGATTTCATTTTAGATTTAAGATAAATTACAATATTATTATTATAAATCACAATATTTATATTATTTCATTTACATAAATAAATAATTAGAGACAACACTTGCTTGAGTCAGGTACTGTTCTCCGCATTTTGTAAATAGTAGTTTTGTGTTCTCACAACTACCCTGTGAGGAAGTTGTTGCTAATGCCCTTTATCATATAGACACGAAAATTAATGTTCAGAGACTTGTCATACTGTGCCTGAAGTCACATAAGAAGCAAGTGATGAAGCTGAGCTTAAGCCCAGGTGTTTTGGGTTTCTGAACACTGTGAACAACAATGATGTTAGGAAATACTAAGCCGGATGGTCCCAGGCAGAACAAGAAAAGACATTTGTAATTCCTAGACTTATTTGGAACTCTATTCCCACTGAAAGAGGGCAGGGCATGCCTGGGAGAGGCTAATTGTAAGGATTTTTTAAGTAGGAAAAATCTCCCACATTTTCAAAATGGATCTGAAATAAGAAGGTATTTAGAGGCTGATTAAAGTGTGGGTGAGATTTCATCAGAATGCTTTAGAAAGTTTTATGCTTTAGTGACCATGGAAGGTGAAGCAGGCTGGCAGAGTGATCTGATTAAATTTCTAATAATAGTTTATTTTCATGTCCAGGGTCTTTTAAAAAAGTTTTGTGAATTATTTTGAGTAAGTAATATTATAAGTATTTTTGCAATTATACATGTTTTAAAAGAAAGTGATAGATTTGGAATATACTTTTCCTTTATACATGTCCTCATTTTTACATTATAAAATGTAATCCTAATATTTAATGAAAATTCAAATATGATGCTTAATAGATTTACTTTCTAGCATATTTTTAGAATGCACTAATTTTATAAAAGGGCAGATAACTATAATATAATCATGAACACATAAATCAAATAAGGCTTTGAAATTTTCATCAAGAAAATGTTATGTAATATTTGAAGTTCTTCCTAAATAGCCACTGCTTCTGTTTATGTAAAAAAAAATACCATCTGGATTTAATTTGAAAGATAAAATGAATAAATACTGCCTGCATAGAATCACATGTCTAGATACATCTTCATGATTAATTGACACTTATTTTTCAAAGAGCTATTGATTCTGATGAGTTAAGTGACATTGTCTAGTCAACTTTCAGCCTACAATTAGCTTGTAGCATACAAGTACACTTAAAAACGTGCATAAATTTCCAAATAAAAACAGAGTTTTAAGTGATGTTTAGGTCAGACCCATCTACCAAAGCTCTTTTAGTCAATAATATACCTGAAGCAAAGTTCTGTTAGTATAAAACCCCCAACCATTAAGACTAGCAGTATTCCTGGGAAATCATTTGATTTAAATAATGTGTATTGACTTTTCCGTGTGAGGCTCTTTGGGGATACAGATGTGGATGTAATACTGCCCAGGCCCACAAGGAGGAGGGAAAAAAGACAGTTACACACAAGGAACTCTGATGTCAGGCAGAATGAAGAAAAAAGCTTTTTAAGATTGGTACAGGCAAAACGTTGAATAATTAATTCACAGCTCTATCCTGAGAAGCAGGAACTGCATATCCCTCTAGGATTCTTATTGGTATTGTCTTACAGGTATCCTCTGAGCTCCCAATTTGTGCCGAGCCCTAAGCTTGTTGTTAGGAATGTAAATATGAATGAGACATCATACACTCATGGTCTACAAGTATAGACAAATAACTCCTGACAAAGGTGCCATAAATGTTACTGGTGGGTGGCACGGAAATTCAACTGAGTAGATGCATAACAGAAGAACTTCAAGAGTAAGAAAATACAGTTGCTTTGAGTTCCTCTACATATTTAAAGCCATAATTCTGTACTCAGTCAGACCCAATGTCCTGTTTTTATAGGCAATGTTTTGTAATACTTCTTTTGCTTTCTTGTAATGATGTTTATAGGTAATATAATCTATGTACACATAAACTATTTTAAAAATCAATATAAATTCCTTATCTGTAATGGAAAGGACAAATAAAAGGAAAGTAGCTTTAGAGAGACTGGCAGGGATATCAACACACATGTGCTCATGTATAATTACAGTAGAAGAGGTAATAAAACTGATGCGTGCTACTAAGATGCATAAGTTTGGATAAGATGAAAATAAGTTTGGATAACAAGATAATATTCTGTTGAATATTGGTGATGCTTTTATATATTTGGCATTTTGAAATGAGAGTGAAATAAATATATCCATTGAGTGTGACAGCTACAATTACAAACAGATGTGGGTGTGTTGTTGTAGTGAATCCATTACCATGTGTAGCACTCTAGCAGGTGACATAATTTTCCAAAATGGTGAACAAATCTTGACGAAGTTCCAAATATGGTAGTTACATTCCTAGAAAATTCCCATGTGAAATATGTTCTGTACAGTAGGGTTAGAATCTAGCCTCAGATAATCAGGCAAGTTTTTCACTCGTGGTGTCTGATGAGAAGTGTGAAAGTTACAGAGGACACAGGATTACTGCACATATGACAGTATTTCTTGCATTCTTGGGCCTTGGCCTCTTCAGTTCTTCACAGCTTTAGAAAACTCACTCAGGAGGGATGTTCCAAACCATTCAGCACTATGACTGTTTTGCCACTGAAGGAAGCTGATGCAACTCCAATGCATGACTTGCTCATTTGGAAAAGCAATGCTCTGTACGGTTTTAGGAAGAAGGTGAGTTTAGTGGCTGGCTAACAAACAAGTAAACAGCAACAAAAGCAAACCATGTAGTTGGCTAAGCACGCAGACACGCCCTAATAGTAGGCACAGTAAGGAAGCCTGACTGATAGAGATGATCTGATCACAACTGTCAGAGTTTCGCTTTCTACGTGGGAGTGTCAGACAAGACTTCACAGATGAAGTGACATTGAAGCTCATTTTTAAAAGATGAGTAAGCATTCTCCAGGTGGGAAAGCAGTCAGATAGCACGTATTCATTGGGGCAGAGGGATCAGCATTTGCAAAGCAGTGACATAAAAATGCAAGGGCTGGTGACTGGGCTCAGCATTGGCAGTTGTGGGAAAGTGATGGGAGATGAGGCTGAAGAAGAAGACTGAGAATGAGATGTGATGAAAGTGTTGTTTACTATCCTAAATTACAGTCAAGAGGTCATTGCAGAACTTGGCAGTACTGGGGTTTGAACTCAGGGCCTCGCACTTGCTAGTCAGGTACTCTACCATTCGAACCATGCTCCCAGCCTGTTTTGACTTTTGTTTATCTTTTGGCTAGGGTCTTATGTTTTTGCCCAAAGCTGGTCTTGAACTTCAACCTATGCCTCCAGTGTAACTGGCATTACTGGCGTATACTATCACATCCAGCTTGTTGGTTAAGATGGGATCTTGCTACCTTTTGCTCAGGTTGGCCTGGAACTACAATCCTCTCAATCCCTACCTCCCAAGTAGTAAGATTACAGGCTTGCCCTACCATGCCCAGTCTGCAATTTGAAAAAGAAGTGACACAGTCTGCTTTCTTTTTGGAGACAATCTCTGAACTTGCATGAAGAGGGTGGACTATAAGAGGAATAAAGATTGATGCTTGGGAGACTAGTTAAGAGTCTGCTGTGGAATACAGATAGGTAAAGTTCAGCACTCACCTTAATCAGGTTCCTGATGGCTAACACTTGCAGTCTAAGTGTCTCCGAGTGTTCCAGCTCCCAATACAGGTCATGGAGCAAGCACTAGCCTCCTCTCTTTAAGCACTGAGGTAACTTGCGCTTCCATAATAGACTTCTGTATTTCAGTGGTTAATAGAGTAGACATTTACTTTTTTGTTTCACAAGGGCTCCTTGTGTTTGTTCCGTGCAATAATTTGAGAACCCAGGACCTTTAACTACACTAGGAACTTGGAGTTCTCTACATCTAGCTGGCAGTTGTGGAAGAGAATGAATATGGAGAAGGCACACCCAGGACGTGACACACCTCACTTCATTCCCCTTATATCAGTGAAATGGTCACATTGATCATCTGTTTACAAAGAGGCCTGGCATGTGTAACCCCCTCCTGGGCAGCCACTCCCAATAATAATTCCATGTCATGGAAGGGGAAGCTCAATTTTGCTAAGTAGCTGTTTCTACCATTTCTGCCTCTCTGGCTACATGTAAAAAAACCTTGAGCCCTGATGACAACCTGAATCTCACCTAGTCACTGCATCTGTCTCAAAGTGGAGTGATACTAAGCCCTTCTCCCCTCTCCTCATTAAGTCTGGATAGGGCCCCTCATTGTTCATCTTAGAACTAAAAGGCAGGTTATTGTTCTCCCAATCTATATTGATAGATTAGGTTTAGACAAGTTCATTCAGATTTTCCATATGGGAAAAGGAAGAATGAACAGTCATTGAACTATAATGTTGAAGACTCCCTGCCTGGCAGTAGGAGAAATTCCTTTATTAGACCTTGGATTTGCTGTGTTGGAAGAACTTTGACCATTGTTCTCTGCAGCTCTGCCCCCAGCCTCCCATAGGAGGCTCTTCATTGTCCATTACTCTCTATGGCCACATCCAAATGGTCTTGGGAAGTGTGCCCTTCCTGGAACTTACATCACCATCTCAGCCTACTTCCCAGTCCAAATCTGAATTACCTAGATGTTGTTTTATAATCACTATTGTTTATTTGCTTCTTAGCTTTGGCTTTTAAATTTCTTTGGCAGTACAATTTCCTCAAAATCTTCCTCGTTACTTGTCTATTTGCTTTCTGTTAGTTGTACTTTTGACTATAAGGAACAGTCACATTCATACTTCTTAAACCTAAATTCATTTCTTTGCTTACGTCTCAACCACTCATATCTCACGTGGTTATTTTGGAATCGTCTGCATAATGGGCTTGGATAGCTAGGTAACTTCATTAATTGACTATTTGCTGCAAGACTTCATCCAACTGGGAAGTCATAGTGGGTATCTGTTACAGAAAGCCTTCCATGTTATTCCTCACCTTTGTAATCCCAAAGCAGTGGCTCTTCTACAATTAAAGGCCTTACATTTATAGGCTTTGGATATTCCTCCTGAATCAGTTCTCCAACTAGCAATTCTTTTCTAAGATGAATTATTTTGCAATGTCTTGCTATTGGTGGGGAAGAGCAGCCGTCACACACTGACATTCTGAGACATTCCATCCATCTTCTTAAGTTTGCCTTCTAACTTAATGCTGTGTTGCCAAGGCATAATAAAGTTCTAGACCTCCCAACTTATGTATCTGTTTCTTTGCTGATGGCCAGTGTCATATGTTTAGACTTTTGAAAAGCCTAGCAGCCAAGTTATCGATTTCAGAATAAGTTAGTATTATGCTAGCAGCAGAATACTGCAACTAGCACCAGAATGCTAGCCATTTGACATAAAGTGTAGTTCTTACCCACACAGTAATCAAATGGAGAGGGAGAGAGCGCAGAAAAGGCACAATCACTTCTTAATATCTTGGCTTAGATGCCACAATACTTCTGTTCAGCGTCCACTGATGAGGACTAGTCAGACAGCCCCATCTAGATGCAAGGGGCCTTGGAAATGGAATCCCTGGCTCAATAGGAGCTTCTCAGTGACAGTTCTCTCTAATGAAGGTGAAGCATGAATTTAGATAGACAATTAGCCAGCCTTGCTGTAGTCATCTTCCTTCAAAATAAATTATGGGGATAGGGGACACGAATTAAATTCACTCATTAGTTAACCCATGCTATGGATGGTACACCCCCTACCCTCTCCCTGTCTTCTCTTTGGCTGTCTGCCAAGACCTCTGGGACATTTTCCTCTAGGACACATCTTCCTTCATTTTTAAAGTGTCACTATTACAAAGCTCTTGTATATATCAGACTCTGGCTGAGTGCTTTGGGATAAAGAATGATAATTACAGTGCAGACAAGGAACTAATTCTCATTAAATGTTAGGTGTCACTGCTCCTAGAATGTAGGTACCATTTCCCTACCATTTCTCACCACAAGGGTTTTCCCACTGGCTCATCTCAACGGGGCCCAGATTCCAACCATTTGCTATGCTTCTCCCTTTCTCTGGACACATACTCCTTTTATCTCTTCACCCAGAATTGTCCCACTGTCCTCTCTCAAGGTGCCAGTGAATGGCTCCAAAAGTCAGAGGTAGTTCATTTTTCAGAACAATTTAACTCCTGTTTGTCTCTCACTTCTGTAAGGATGCTTGCCTGTACTAGCCAAAGTTCATTATGCTTCTTCTGAAATAGAGGCAGGTTTTTTTTTTTAATCATTTCTCATAGTCTGGCTGGTTCCTAACTATACTCAGCTTTTTAAAGATGCAATCAGTAAGTATCTATTGAGCACTTTTCAGTTGTAAAGCACTCTGCTAGGTCATGAAGTTAAACAAGCTTAGTCCTTACCCTCATGGGGCTTATGGTCTACCTGACAGAAACATAGGCCCTCTAAGTCCCCTGTAGAGCCAATTGTGGTGAGTCTTCCCTAGGTCCAAACCATTGGTAGTTTTTAAGGTTATGAACTACTTTGAAAGGAAAGGGAAGGAGCCACATGTGGGCTGTGGCTTGTGTGCTAAATTGGGAGAGTTGAGACATCATGATGGTAGGAAATAATTTTCCTATAGATAATTTTCCTATAAATAAAATTCCTATAGCCTGGTCACCAGGCTTATTTTTTGTAGACTCTGGGACTTGAGCTGTTTGGTTCTTTTTATACTCTTTCCTGTGTCTAACAGGATGAGCTTGTCCTAAAGAGAAATAAGAAAGATAGGGGAAATGTGGCATCTGGAGAGAATGGAGCAGATGACAAATGGCAGTCTAAATAGTTGGGAAGTTAGACTTCAGGAATATCAGGGTGTCTGGCAGGATTAAATTGATCTAGCCCCACAAGCTCAGAATGCTGTAGTTTGTGGACACATAGAGGTTAGCAGATACCTCTCTTAAGTAGCTAGCAGGGGTCCATCCAGTTTTTATCTCCATTCTTGGGAAAACCAGATGATGGTCACTTTATTAATGGAGGGCTTCAGGTACAATGCATAGGACCATATTTTATGCCATCACCAAGCTACTAACCTTTTAGTTAGACTTCCACTACAGCTCACCAACTGAACTCAGCTTTTTTTCTTATTCTGTACATTGATTTGGTACTTTGCTTTTTTTTTTTTTTTAGCAAAAGCAAATCTGATCATGCCATTCATCTGCCTAAATGTCCTTAAATGATTTCTCACTTTTTTCCCTTTATGCCTAATGGTGAGCTGTCAGACATGGCCCTGAACTATTTATAATCATGTACTCTGTACATTTTTCTTGAGAAGGACTTGGATGTTTCTAGAATCTGGGAGGCACTGGAGTCTATAAGTGGAGACCAAGGGCCTATAACTGGGTGATGGATAGAAATACAGATAAGGCAAAATGTGGTGCTTCCAATACTATTTTTCTCTCCTTATTAAAATAGAACTTATTTTCTCATTCCAAAACACAACTCAGCTTCATAATTTCACAGGAAGGTTTTCAATCCGTTTTTTTCAATGCTGGGGATTGAACCCAGAGTCCTATGTATGCTAAGCAAGCACTGTGCCAATGAGCTACATCCCCAACCCTCCAACCAAACTTGATGTGCTGATGGAAATGTTCTATAGCTGTGCTCCCCAATGCAGTAGCCACTAGCCACATGAGCTGTCCAGTGCTTGAAATGCCATTTCTGACACTGAGAAATTAAATTGTAAATGAATTTAAATTTAAATAGACACACGTGGCTAGTGGCTACCATACTGGATAGTGCATTTCTACACTATTATTAGCTTGAAATAATTTAGGTTTCAAAGGTAGTATGGTTTAAATTCCAGAAGCAACCACTGTTGGCCTGTTGCTTACCGTATGTAAACACATGTCAGTCAACAGTGGTACCCAGTCCATGCTTTGGCTTAAATGAATATCTCCTTGGTACTTTCTACTGAAGGGATGTGAATCCATTGCCTCTGGTTTCCATCCATGGAAATTGTTCTTTTGTGATGGCATTTTTTGTTTTGTGTGAGCTGTACAAAATGTAAAGTAGCAGACAAATGGAGAGCTCTATCTTCCTAAGGATCTATATAACAGGACCTTCAATGCTTTCTCATGCCCCATTGTCCTGGACAGGACTGTTCTTTTTTTGTCTCCTCCCCTATTCCCTTTCTTGCTTTCTTCCTCTGTCTTCTTTTCCTTTCTAAACTCTATAATGATGTAGACATCATGGTGTCCTTTAATGAGTTCCTTTTCTTTTGCATATTGATCTCAGTTCCTTTGTGCTTATTTTTAAAATCTTTGTCAGTTTTGCTCAGTAACACAAAACAAAACAACAAAATAAAGCAGACCAAAAACTACTTCAGATCACACACACACACACACACACACACACACACACACACACGCACACATACACATTTCTGAAATGATAATAGCTCTTGGCTCTCAAAACACATTTTGGAGAGTTATCAATGAATTACTTAAAGAAAGTAAGGGACAGTACTGACCTCGATGTTTTCCTATTTATCACCTAAATAATATCAGACCTGCCTTCAATCAATTGAAAGTGACTATTTGTCTGATTCCTGAATTCTTTGCCCTGTTCCTTATGAGTAAAAAAACATTGTCATGATGAAATCATGGAGGAAGAGCATGGTGTTTAGAAGGGAAAATTCCAAAATATGATAGTAAAGTAATATTGAAAAAGAAGTTGTCTATTTTGACTCTTTTTTTTCCCCAAGTCGGAATAGTTCAGAACATTTAGCTTTCATGCTAAATGTCTCCAGTTCATAAAATTATGATTATTAATCAGACTGTCATAAAATATTAATTTACTTTTGAGATAAATGTCATTTTAAATTTGGAATCCTGGCTTTTCCTAAATCTAAGGAGAGCATTTTCATTAGGCTTTATGGAAAGAGTGCACATAGAAAGCTTAGAAACCATTAAAAAGCCGCTTCTTACACTTGGCTTCGGGTATGACTCAGGCCCAAAGAAACACTTGGGTTTCCAGAAAATCAGTGTAGTTTATCATCATATACGTGCAGCTAACATAGAACATTATTCGGAGAGTTTCTGTCAGTTTTTAAAAATCTAAAGAGGCATTTTCTTGCTTGCTTTCTATAGCACCCGGCTAAT